AGATAGAGGAGAAAAACAAAAAGTTCCCCAAGCTCTCCGCAGCCCCTTGTTCCCGAGAGCGCCGATTAGCCGTCGAGGCCAACCATGACAGAGTGCAGTCATTGATGCTACATATACGCTGAATACGAGACGATTTAGTGACGATCAGCCACTACTAGTAGATATAGCCTTCCACCAACCAAGGGCCTTTTGCTGCCAATGCTTGGGGAAGACTGATCATCCGTATATGAGCAGTGATATATGGCCATGAGCATGCGAAGTGCTACCACTCGATTCTGCATGCAACGGTGGTGCCTGGCACTAATCCGCACCCAGGCAGGCCAGCAAGAGAATTATTATTAGCATCACCAGTAGTGCTCGTGCTAGCACCTGTTGTTTGAGCGATTAATGGTGAGCGGTGGTGCGGCTGGATGGTGAGGAAGGCCACCGTCACATATCAGTGCGAGAGGCTGAGAAACCTGGCAGACGGCCTGGAGCTGTATGCGATACACGGATGCGTGCCAAAAGGACGGGAGACACCGGGTACCAAATACTTGCTCAGGCAACCGCCGCCCGATGCACCCCGACGGATGAATGACTCGTTGCTTTGGCGGTCTGCGGCGTTACGGCGTTAGAGCGTTAGAGCGTCGAGGCGCGCCATCAGCCGTCTCAATGCTCGCTGCAACAGAGTCGTATTCCGGACATTGGGCACGTCCTTATCTTAAGCTTCATTTCGACGCAGTTATGCTGCTGCAGCCATGCAGTAATCATGTTTGGAGTGCGCCCGGGCCTGGTTTAATTAATCCCCGTCGGGCCATGCTCAGAACGGGAACTGCTGCGGCCCTGAACGGCCTAGCTGGTGGTTTCTTGCGCGTCTCTGATGTGTCATGATCGATCAACTGCGCGCGCGCCCTCTCTGGCAAAGCGTCTTGGCGATGTGCCCATTTACCTACATACAGTAGTAGTAGTACATAGTAACAGTAGTATGGGCTCTACGTAGGTAGCATTTGGCGATGCTACCAGCAACGGGCGCCATGCTGCAGCTGCCGTTGCTCCTGCCCGTAGCAGCAGGTATGTGGCAGCAAACACGTGATCGTCTCCTTAGGCACGAATCATGCAAATTTTTTCTTCCTTTTTTTTTCAGCCTATTTTCAACGCCCGCGGCACTGCGAATACGCTTATTGGGGTTTGAGTTTTGCGCATGCTTCTTTTTCTTCCTCTTCAGCCCGTGGCTAGTTTATGCCAAAAACGCGCATCTGGGCGCCGCATCCTTGCCCTGATTCGCCCCAGCAGCTGGCCCGGCGGGGGCGCTAGGAATTCCCCTGCGCTATCTGCAGGCCTCGGTGCATGAGGCCCCAGAGGCGAAAAGGCCCCTTGGCAAGCCACATTTTGCCCTCGCCGTGCGCGCGCGACCATGTCCGGGCAATTTCCAGCCTCGACGAACCAAGAGCTGCGGCTAGCAAATTGCGCTGCGTCGATTTGCCGACCCGCTACAAATCGGCACGCCGCATGCCGGTGGCTTGGAGCGACTGCACCACGGAGTTGCCATGTTTTCTTGGCAGACGCCGTCGCGCGCTCCTATTCGTTTCGGGCCTTCCAAGTGGACTCGATCTCACAACGTGAGAGTGAGAGCGACGACAAAAAGTTCCAGAACAGGGGCCCCCTGGCCACCAGCCGGCTGTTTTGGGGCGTAGCTCAGCCATCGCAGCCAGGAATGTACCGTGGATGGCGCCAGCGAGCGAGGGACCGGATCTCAGCGCACGAATCGCGGCCCAGCGCGGCTCTCTCTATGACGGGCGATGCCATCGGCTTAACACCCAAGAGAGCGAGCTCGCCGCGTGGTGTAACTTCTGGAACTGATGGCCCGTGGGGAAGAGGCGACAAGCGAGGCCACCACAGCGTGGCTAGTGCAAATGCTCCTGGGGCAAACTCACATGCCCCCCCAATCCTGATAACAGAAGCTGGGTGGACAACGTTGCAATGGAGACTGGCGATGGAGAGTGGACTGGACTATCCTTCGTAGCCTGATTTCTTTAAATCATAGCATCCCGCCGCATGAGCTTTTTCCTTTCCCTCCCTCTTCTCCCTTGTTGTTCCCTCGCTCACTTCCTGGCTTGTCTTGTCGTCTTTCGAAGGGACTTGCCTTGGGTCTGTAACTAGACAACAGTCGGATCGCAAATATGGCCAACAACCACGAAGATACCGCTGCTGAGTAAGTCTCGAACAGGGAGCTGAAGAATTTTCTTCTCGCTCCTCTCTATGCCGAATCCATATGCTTACATATCCCACCCAACCAGGCTCCACGAGGAGTTCAACGAGCGTACTCACCACGGCGAGACTCACGATCTCGCCGGAGGCTTCATTGCCGCCGACCCTGATGAGAAGAAGGACTTCACCACTCTCTCAGCAGATGGTGCTGAGGCCGGTCCCACTCCTGACGGCGAGGAGCCCAGCGAGTATGAGAAGCGGACTCTGCGCCGTATTGGCGAGAACTTGCCCGCCTCGGCCTTCCTCATCGCCATTGTCGAACTGACAGAGCGTTTCACCTACTATGGTGCTTCTGGTCTTTTCCAGAACTACATCAGCAATGGTCCTCACATCACCACCGACTCTCCTGGATTGGGCATGGGTGGCCAGGCCGCCACTGGTCTGAACCTGTTTTTCCAATGGTTCTGCTATGGTATGTATTACTAGCTCTGCCTACCTATCTGCTGGTCGCGTGACTGGCTTGCCAAAGAACAATGTTGGCTAATTCGGGATTTCTTGATGCACAGTTACTCCTATTCTCGGTGCCATCATCTCTGATCAGTATCTCGGCAAGTACAAGACTATCATGCTCTTCTGCTGCGTCTACTGGATTGGTCTTGTTATCCTCTGGACTACCTCTCTGCCCGTTTCTATTGCCCATGGAGCCGGTCTGCCTGGCTACATTGTCTCCATCATCATCATCGGTGCCGGCACGGGTGGTATCAAGTCCAACATCGCCCCCCTGATTGCCGATCAGTACCAGCGCCGAACAATGGCCATCCGAACCGAAAAGGACGGCGAGCGAATCATCATTGACCCTGCCATCACCTACCAGCGCATCTACATGATCTTCTATTGGTGTATCAACCTGGGTTCTCTGTCCCTCATCGCCACCCCCTTCATGGAGAAGTACTGCGGCTTCTGGACTGCCTTCCTCATGTGCTTCATCATGTTCAACTTCAGTATCGCCATTCTCGTTATCCGCCGCAAGTCATACATCATCCACCCGCCGCAGGGCTCCATCATCACCGATGCTTTCAAGGCCATTGGTTTGATGATTATGTCTCGCAACATGGACGCTGCCAAGCCTTCATGGCGTGAAGCCAACGGCAAGACAAAGCCGGTTAACTGGAACGACCACTTCGTTGAGGAGCTCAAGCGTGCTATCCGTGCTTGCAAGGTCTTTGTTTTCTGTAAGTTTTCTGTTGGACAACTACAGTCTCTCGTGATGAAAACCTTTGACTAATAATTTATATCTAGACCCCGTCTTCTGGGTTGGTTATGGCCAGTTCTCCACCAACTTCGTCACCCAGGCTGGTCAGATGAACGGCCACGGCATGCCCAACGATTTCATGCAGAACTTCGATCCCATCTCCATTCTCATCTTCACCCCCATCCTTGACATTTTCGTTTACCCCACGCTCCGCAAGGCTGGCATCAACATTCGCCCCATTGCTCGAATCACCCTGGGTTTCATCTTTACCTCTCTCTGCCTGGGCTATGCCGCCATCGTCCAGCACCTCATCTACAATGCTGGCCCTTGCTACAAGGATCCCCTCAACTGCCCTGCTGCCACAGTGAACGGCGAGACCCTGCCCAACAACGTGCACATTGCTATTCAGGCGCCCGCTTACGTCTTTGTCGGTCTTGCCGAAATCTTCATTTCTGTCACTGGTCTCGAGTATGCCTACACCAAGGCTCCTCCCACCATGAAGTCTTTCGTCCAGAGTTTGTACCTCTTCACCAACGCCTTCGGCTCTGCCATCTCTGAGGCCCTTGTCTCCGTTTCCAAGGACCCCGAGTTCGTCTGGATGTATACTGGTGTTTCTGCCGCCAGTTTCATCGTTGCCATCATCTTCTTCTTCCTCTTCCACCACTACGACAAGATTGAGGATGAGTCATTTGAGCTTGACCGCGAACAGCCAACTGTTCCTCCGGCGAAGGAGGTCGAGTACGAGGGAGCTAACTAATGGATGGGTGTGAGGGTGGAGTTCTCTAATGGATTAGTTGTAGATACCAAGTGTATTATGTAGTATTAGTATATAATGAATCATTATCAAGCAAATTTAGCATTGTACGGCAAGCATCAAGATGACCCCCACCCACCGATAAGGACTTCATGACCTGACTCTTGCCTCCCGTTGCCACCTCAGGATGGAGTGGTGTGGAAACGTTGCTGCTGCAAAAGCTGCTGCTTAGCTTCTCGAACGCTTCTATGCATAAAAAAAAATTCTCTGATGCGGATAAAGTAGTGCCGCGCCAGTCCCTCGTATAGCGCGCCAAAGCCCCTGGTCCCACCAGCATCAGCCGAGGAGGCTGCTCTAGCACGCGCTAGGCGCTCCATATTTGATGCTAGCACCACCAAGCTTGCCTAAGCAATCTTTATCTCCGTAGCGCTGTGTGGCAAATTGTCCGAACGCGTATTGCTAGCGCAGAGTAAGCGGTGATGCTCGGCAAAGAAAAACGTGTAGCCAAGAAGCGCGGCGTTCTGCCAAGGAGAAACACGATGCCGGGCTGGGCCGTCTTGGCCATCTGTTCCGGCAGTGTCGCCGGCAATATTTCCATCGACATTACCCTTGCCTTGGATGACGGAAAAGTCCTTGGCAGCTCTTGGCAGTTTGGACGTGCTTTATGAGAATAGAATTCCGGTATTAGAATAAGGGAGAAGAGAAAAAAAAATAAGGGTTAGTGGCAGTAGCTATGAGCTAGTCTAAATAATAGGGGGAAAGCTAAAAGGTTAAAAAATTTTAAAAAAAAAAAATTAAAAAAAGATATGACACCTGAGGGATTCGAACCCTCGCCTATTTCTAGACCGCGAAACTGGAGAGCTGAGAACAGCAACACCTGAACACGGCGCCTTAGACCACTCGGCCAAAGTGCCTTGAGATTTGATTGACGTGCTGTTCCCTAATGTGTCTCATACGAGACTTCGCAGCAAATCGTCCGAATTTCACCTCCGCTCGGAAAATGCCACTGTCTCTTGCCCTATTACAGGAGGCAACCGGCATTGTAAACTGTAAAGTACCATACTAGATAAAGAATTCAAGATATTAAAGTACTGTTTTTCCTTTCTTAAAGGAAAAAAAGGAAAAAGAAAGATTATAGAAAAGAAAGTGTTTTCAGTGTCTTGACTTAGAATCCCAATTCCCCGTAATCGCATCTTTTAAACCGCCATTGTTTACACTTCGCTCTACACTTATAGGGATCATCTCTAATTGAGGATTTGAATTTAGCTGGTCTTCTTTCATCTTACTACATTTTCAGTTGCCGCTTTTGTGCTCACGCGGCGCCTTCATATAGACTATCGACTCAAATGGCTCTTTATGCTCATTGTTTCCCAGGTTAATACAGAGAAACCCAGGACTGCAAGAACTCTTTACAAGATCCAGTCTTAATTGACATTTACCAAGAAATTTTCTTCGTCTATAATCAGTATACCACGCCAGCGACACATCCCCCACTACCAGGCCTGAAGATCGCACCCGTGCTAAGATTAGCTCAAATCGCTTTCTACAGCTAATGCAACGACTAGATGGAAACGGTCTAGAGAGCGCCAAACAGAGATCTAATCACTCAGTCAAATTAAATAATGCCAACTATTTTGCCAGAACAATGGACACCTTCTGATGCACCAATGGTCATAAGCAGTCCAACCTCTCTCTTCATGCCCATGCGTCTGCAATCTACATGTACCACGTGAAATGCGTATCAAGGCCAAAGCAACCGTAACAACGCTTCGTGTCTGAGCATGAGGACGAGGAAGAGGAGAAATGGCGTCGATAGGGCTTTTGGGAATCAATTTTGTGTTATTATGATATATATCCCATAAGGAGCTCGATAGCTAGCTTATGACATGCTCCAAGTTCATGTACAAAGCCAAGGTAGGAGCCCATTTTTATTTGTCTAGACGAGATTGATTCGTTATCCAACTAGATAACTTTGATCAAACTGGATAGTCTAGGTCAAATTGGACAGTGGATCGCATTTAGATAGATTTACTAGGCTAACATTGACTCATACGCATCTTGGAAACTGTGAAGACCAAGATTTAGCTTGGTGGCTCAAGGTGCTCTGAAATCGGAATTTCTCACTGACAGTGTGCATCACCATTCTCTACAATGCACTACGTTCTTCATTTATCGTCACCAAAGCGAGGTGAAGTGGTATAATGGCTCTGACTCCAATTTTTGTGCCGCCCAGCCATTCATGGCGCTCTGTTTGCGCTCATTATGCAGAATTTTTTTTTTTTCCTTGAGCAATAATTCTGGCAAAATGAACAATGGCTTCAACAGGCCGCTTCTCTTTTTGAGACGACTTGGCCGCTGGAGTGGCGTTACTGAGTCCGTTGTAAACAGCAATTCTGTCTTCATTCTTCACCACGTCGACGCTCTGCATCGCTAGTAGCTTCAACGCATTCATGAGACTCCTGCTGATTATTTGGAAAGGTAGAGAGAAGGTATCAATATTTTAAAATATTTCCAAGAGTACCTACCCATAGGTAGCTGACTGGTAGCTAATTTACGAAGCATAAAGTCCCGCCTAATGGTTAGCATAACTACATACCCAGTAGATCTTTAGTAGTAAAGGGCAAGATCCGGTCGCATCGCTCTTTTTGGAATCTATAAACTGTCGCTTTCTTCTTCTTCTTATTTTTTTTTCCATCGAAGAGATATTATTCAAAGCCTATATCATCTCATAGATTTACATCGCTTCTTTGAAGACGACGTTTATGCTAGACAATTAGTATAGGTAAGCAAATTCTAGTCAGGTACCTTGGTAGCTGCTGGACAGGGCTTTCTCCTAGGAGAAACTCGCCTCGGTCCTAGGCTAGCAACTGCCCAAAAATGGCTATTCCGCTGTTTTCCCTCAGCCACTGACTAATTCTCGAGCGCTCATTGGCTCGGCTGAATCCGGGGACAATAGGTACTGGGAGTACATCTCGTAAAACGACCATGACATGATCGATTTCCGCGGTCCCTGGAGCTGAGCCGAGAAATTGATTTCTAACACCCGCATCTACCCTCCCCACCTTGAGCCTCCAAAGCCTGAAGCCTCAGCCCTTTTGACGCTGTACACCAGCATGCACTGCGTCTGCACTGCATTTCTATGATACAATGATGAACGTCTCTTACTCTACCGGCCGCGCTGCGCTGCGCCTGAGCCGCTCTTCTTTCCGCCATTTGTGCGGCTCCAGAGTAGCCGGCTTTGCCTACCACTCTTACCCTTTGCCGTCCAAGATCCCCGAACCTCCTAGGAGCGACGACATCTCCAAGGTCTCCATCGCCCAGCCAGAAGCTTTGCCTCGTGTCCACGAGACACGGCCGCCCCTGCAGCATGACGCTGCACCCAAGCCGACCGCCGCGTCTCAGGTCCAATCTCAGCCAAAGCCTTCTCCAGCAACATCAACGGCGCCTACAACCCCCAAGGCCACCGAAACCAATACACCAAGCGCAAAGCCCGCCACGCGGCCCCGTTCCAAGCTCCGACCTCGCAAGGCGGCTATGAAGCTCACACCCGCTGCTGTTGACCAGCTGCGCGCGCTGCTCAACCAACCCGACCCGAAGCTGATCAAGGTCGGTGTACGAAACCGGGGCTGCAGCGGGCTGGCCTACCACCTAGAATACGTCGATAAGCCTGGCGCTTTCGATGAGACTGTGGAGCAAGATGGCGTCAAGGTCCTGATCGATAGCAAGGCACTTTTCAGCATTATTGGTACCGAGATGGACTGGGCAGAGGACAAACTGAGTCAGAAGTTTGTGTTTAAGAACCCCAACATCAGTATGTGGTCTCCTGCATATCGTGCAATTGGTTGAGTTTCTTTTGGTATACCGATGACTAACTGGTAACAGAGGAGCAATGTGGCTGCGGAGAGTCATTTATGGTCTGAGAGAAGATTGAGAAGATCCAAACGACGATCCAAACGACCAGATACCGAGGCGGATGCTGAGACAGATATACAAAGGAATTGTACGATGGCGATGTTTAGAGAAAAGATTATCACGAAGCAAGATCCTCGTAAGAGAGACCTGCTTAGCCAACCCACATATGGGTTTTACTTTAATATGTTGAAGCAAGAACGTTACAAGCACGGGAACAAATAGGCAATAGTATTACGGGGCAATGATACCGGCGTTAGGTTAGAGGCACACACTGTCCTTGATCAAATATATCTCAAAATACATTTTTATGAACAATCTAGCTGGAATGAAAATCGACGTGAGATATGAGCCACCCACGATTAATAATAGGATAATAGCACTTCTGTATTTTTCATCAGCAAGCAGAATTGACAGCAGCAACTTTGAGTCACAGAGCAGCTTATTCCAAATTGTCCTCAAAGCTACAATGACTAAGGGCCTGTCATAATCGAGTATTCTGCGCTATCAGGAGCAACGCCAGCCTTCAAGCCGTGCCGCTGATGTCACCGCAATTCTAGAGCAATATCACGTGACCAGGCGCCAAACTGGGTGTTGCTATCAATATGGCGACACCAATGAATTGTTGCGTATAAGCTGTCAAAGCGTGGCTGGGCATGTTGCCTATGCCTGTGTGAATATATATTTGCGTGTTTGCACTTGCAGCCCGTTTTAAGATCATCTCTATTCCACCCGAAAAATAAAATCCCAACATCATCAAATATTGGGAAAAAGTTGAATCGTATCCCAGCAGTTACTTATATCACATACCCTTCATCCAAAATTCCAAGTCCATCAAACAACTACCTAGTGACATCCTCTTACAAGCAATAAACATGGCACCCACCATCCAAAAACGCAAATTGGCTGTAACCACTGCCACAAAAGCATCATCAACCTCCAGAATCCGAAAGACAGCCAAGCCTACACCCAGAGCTCTCAGCGTCGCAGCCATCATCAACAAACCAGCTTCCATTCCCGCAGACATGCAGCCGCAGCTGCTTCGCATAGCGGAAAGCCAGCGCACAGATTTTGAGAAGCGCGTGTGGACGGCGCTGTGCCAGATTCCCCGCGGACGGGTCACTACATACGGCTTGCTTTCTGCATATCTGGGGACGTCGCCGCGAGCCGTGGGCAACGCGCTTCGGCGGAATCCTTTCGCGCCCGAGGTGCCATGTCATCGCGTTGTGGCGACGGGAGGATCTTTGGGCGGCTTCAAAGGTAGTTGGCCAAAAGATGGAGAAGGTATTACCATTACTGAAAAGAAGAAATTATTGAGAGGCGAAGGGGTCAAACTGGATGATAAGGGAAGGGTGCTGGGGACAGTCTGGTCCAGTTTTCAGTAGTAGAGGTTCGGGTTGAGAGATTGCAATGATATGATGAGAGCGAATTATATATGGCGTTTATAGGTACTTTTTATGATATAGGGCTAGGCACATAGCTTTCGGAATCAACTTTCTAATTAATATGATACTTGAATGACGGATCTGTTGCCTCTCCAGGCTTGTACAATGCCATGGGAACTCCCAAAGCAGGTGTCCCAATGAGATCTACCTGTAGCTTCTGTGCTGCCCAATCACCACGATACTCAATACTTTCATACTGCTGTGCAAGGCGCACCACTAAAGAGAACCAAGCTCCTATTAGCCAATTCGTTTGCACTCAAGATCAAATGCGCTCAACTTACAGCAAAATGCCATTTCGGTCATGGCAAAATTCTGGCCAATGCAGATCCTAGGACCTCCAGAGAATGGAATGTACGTCCAAGGCTTGGGTGTCCAATGCTCCCACCGCTCAGGGCTGAATATCTTCAAGTCTGCAAATTTCTCAGAAGTGGGTGGGTATAAATCCACGCAAGTGTGCATGCCGAGCACATTTATTGTTACGCTGTCTCCCTTGAGAAGAACAATGTCGGCCTCCCCAGGTCTCCCAGGGACGGTTGTGGTCTCCAAAGCTTGGCGCATGT